GCTATAGATTAGAGATTAATTTGGAGGCTCCAGTAGTGGTTTGCTGAAAGGGGCGTTTGTTTGATTAGATCAGTGATGGCCCTTTGTGCTGGGGGCTTACATTGTGCTAAGCTGTCTATGTGAATCAGTTCACGGCATCATTTTTTTTTTTTTTAACAGGCAGAGTGGACAGTGAGAGAGAGAGACAGAGAGAAAGGTCTTCCTTTGCCGTTGGTTCACCCTCCAATGGCCGCCGCCGCCGCCGCGCTGCGGCCGGCACATCGCGCTGATCCGATGGCAGGAGCCAGGAGCCAGGTGCTTATCCTGGTCTCCCATGGGGCGCAGGGCCCAAGCACTTGGGCCATCCTGCACTGCACTCCCTGGCCACAGCAGAGAGCTGGCCTGGAAGAGGGGCAACCGGGACAGAATCCGGCGCCCCGACCGGGACTAGAACCTGGTGTGCCAGCGCCGCAAGGCGGAGGATTAGCCTAGTGAGCCGCGGCGCCGGCTAGTTCACGGCATCTTCACAACAGCCTGTGAGGCAAGCACTGTTGCTGCACCCACTTGAAGATGAGGACGTTGGAGCCTAAGAGGGAACTTGCTCAAGATCATACAGTGGTAGGGCTGGGAATCAAACCTAAACACGCTTGACTCTAAAACTGGTGAGTTTTCTTTTTTGAAACAATCACAAATTTACATAAAAGTTGGAAGCATGTTCAAAGCCTTCCCCATCACCAGCCCAAATCGCTTGAGAGTAAGTTGGCAACCTGATATCTTTGGGTGCATTACAAGGACAAAGGACATTTTCCTACAGACTCACAATGTAACTATCAAGATTAGGAAATGAACCCTAACATATTACACATGTAATCCACAGACCCGCTTCTGCCAGCTGTCCCAGCAAGGACTTTCACAGCAAAAGGATTCAGTTCAGACTCACACTTCGCATTTCCTTGTCGCATCTCTTCTGCTTCGCTTCTGTAGGTCTGAAATGGATCCTCGCTCTCTTGATTTCAATAAAGCTTGTTAGCCAGTTATTTTGTAGAACAGCTCGTGCTTCCTCGTATTTAGAGTCAGTTATTTATCTCTGGCAGGAGCACCACGGAGGAGACGTTGCATTCTTGCTGTGGCCTATCAGGAGGTGTGTGCTTCAATGCGTTCTGGTATTAATGATGTTATTTGATCACCAAGCGAAGGTGGTGTAGGCCAGGCTTTCCCACTGTTTCCCCTTTGTAATTAGTAGGTCTTTTTATGAGGAAGTACTTTGAAACTATCTAAATACCTTGTTATGCAGTTAAACTCAATTTCTTCATTCATTTATTTCTATCTTACAGAACTAAGGTTTCCTGTTATAGTCAATGGTTTGTAACCTGCTATTAATGTAATATTTTTCTATTAAGTCATGGGAATCCATTCAAGCTGGGTTTTGTGCTTTTAAAATTTGTTCCTTTATCCTTTGTGTGTGTGTTTTTAATGATCTTGAGAGTCTACCTTTTTTTAAGATTTTTAAAAATTTATTTATTTGAAAGAGCTACAGAGAGAGGTAGAAACAGAGAGAGAGATCTTCCATCCACTGGTTCACTCTCCAGATGGCCGCAATGGCAAGAGCTGCACCGATCTGAAGCCAGGAGCCAGGAGCCTCCCCCTCCTCCCATGTCTCACACATGGGTGCAGGGGCCCAAGGACTTGGGCCATCTTCTACTACTTTCCCAGCCCATAGCAGAGAGCTGGATCGGAAGAGGAGCAGCCGGGACTAGAACCAGCGCCCATATAGGATGCCAGCACTTCAGGCCAGGGCTTTAACCCACTGTACCACAGCACCAGCCCTAGAAATTTATTCTTGAATGATAGTCCTGTGGTACGCTAGAGGTTAAAAAAATTGAACAAACAAACAAAAACATAAAACTCCCTAAATTTATGTTTTTTGCAGAGGCAGAAACCAATGCCACTCAAATTTTTTATAAGAGTTATTTATTTGAAAGGTAGAGTTACAGATAGGCAGAGGTGGGGGGGAGGGAGGGAGGGAGAAAGAGGGAGTGAGGGAGAGGGAGAGAGAGAGATAAAGAGAGAGGTCGTCCATTCACTGGTTCACTGCTCAGATGGCCAAAACAGCCAGAGCTGCGCCGATCTGAAGCCAGGAGCTTCTTCTGGGTTTCCCATGTGGGTGCAGGGGCCCAAGGACTTGGGCCATCTTCCACTGCTTTTCCAGACCATATCAGAGAGCTGAATTGGAATTGGAGCAGCCAGGACTCGAACCGGCATCCATATGGAATGCCGGCACTGCAGGTGGTGGCTTTACCCACTACGCCACAGCACCAGCTCCACGACTCGAATTTACAGGAACTGAAAGACCCTTGCTCCATAAATTCTTTCTATTAAGGAGCTGTGAAATAAATTGCAGAAGCCGTGACTAGCATTTTACCAAAAAAAAAAAAAAAAAAAAAAAAAAAAAAAAGAAGAAGAAATCAAAGTGAGAATTACGGACTGTTGTACACAACTTTTATTTCTTGATGTCTTGCACTGTTATATAAATGTATTCCTTACTGTGGTCTCTGGTCTAAAAAGGTTGACAGACACAGAAGTGGGGGAACTACTGCTCCTGCAGGACGGGCGAGCAGGAAGCTACAGCCTTCAGTTGAGTGCCTGGACAAGAAGGATCCCTGAAATCACTCACTTAGGTTTAATTCTGATGTTTTGTGTTCAACACTAGAGGTTCAACTTCTGGTCTTCAGGTGTATTAGCAGTCACGTCTTCAGCTACACTGCTCCTAGCCAGATCACCTCAGTTGTGCCACTCTTGATTGGAGAGGGCTCTGTCTGCGGACCTTCTCTTGGAGAAAGTAGCCACACCGTCCTCGTTCAGTGGGGCCTCCACAGTCAGCTTTCCCCCTTCCCGGGTCTCTGCTACACAACCAGTCCACCCCCAGATGCTGTGCGGTCTGTGAGCCCCCGCAGTGCCACCAGCCTTACGAGCCGGGAGACGCGGCTCTCTTGTCGTGCCCCTCAACAGGCTGTTCTCGTGGCAGTGGTGGCCTGTGGCAGCTAAACTGCTCTCTGCTGGTGTTCCCACCGAGCAGTGCTCAAGCACTGGAGCCTCTGCCAGCATTTGGCACGTCTGGCCTTGCAGAATGTTCCTGACAGCTCCCTCCTGCAAATCTTGTAGCAGCCCAGAAATTGAGCACTTCCTCTGAGATGCCCTCCACCGAGCTGACATGTGGAGACAAGTGCTTCCGAGAACTGGCCCCCTGGGACCACATGCACTTTCCTACTGGTCTCCGTGGGCTTAGTTCTTGTCACCTATGGCTCCAGTGCCAGAGCCGGCTGAGTGTGTGCTCAGTCAAGCAATAAAAAGGGGCCGACGCTTTGGCACCTGCAGGTCCCACATGGTGACAGTGACCTTTCCCTTGGAACAGTAACCTGTGACGAAATATAGCCTAAGAACCGTTACTTTCTTGATCAGACCAAACTCCTTATCCTGTAATTATCACAATGACACCCCTCCTTTATCCTCTCATCTGTAATCTGAGGAACCAGGTCCTTAAGGCTGCCTGTAGAAGCTTCCAGAGGCTTAGGAGACGAGGACTCCTTGGGAGCATGGCTGGCAATGCCCACTGGAACACCAATTGGAGTCCCAGCTGTCTTCTTCCAACGCAGCTCCCTGTTAATGCATCTGGGAAGGCAGTGGGTGATGGCCCAGAACACGGGCCCCTACCACTGATGTGAAAGACCTAGATGGAGTTCTGAGCTCCTGACTTCTGCCTGGCCCAGCCCCAGCCATTGCAACCATTTGGGGAATGAACCAACGATTGGCAGATCCCTTTCTGTCTGTCTTTCCCCGCTCCCTACTCTGTGTTACTCTGCTTTTCAAATAAATAAAATTTTTTTTGTAAAAAAGTAGCACTGTTCTACTTCCCTTCCCATCAATGTAGTCCTTACTGCTCTGACTGGGAAGGCAGCCAGATCCCTCAGAAAGCTCAGGAGACGGAGCATGGGGTGTCCTGTGCAGTGGATCAGCAATGGCCGTCAGCAGCTGCAGCGTCCCATTCACCAGTTGTACGTAAAAGTTTTAGTCAGTTTTTCTTTACTGCAGCTAGAATACCTGAGAACAGCTACTTCTGGAGGAGAAGGCTCACTGCGGCGCGCAGCTCCTGGGGTTCAGTCTGGGATCAGGCAGCCCGTTTGTCAGACGAGGGCGAAGGCTGCCGGCGGTGGTGTGTGTGGAGCCGCGGTCACATGGCAAGCAGCAAACACGGACAGGGAGCAGGCTCTTTCTCCATGTCCGTGTGTCTCTCCTTATAAAGCCACCATGATTTGATCATAGATTCTGCCCTAACAAATCTAATCCCAAGGCCTCAACTTTAGATACTATAATTGGAATGGTTTCCTAGGCCGGCGCCGCGGCTCACTAGGCTAATCCTCCGCCTAGCGGCGCCGGCACACCGGGTTCTAGTCCCGGTCGGGGCGCCGGATTCTGTCCCGGTTGCCCCTCTTCCAGGCCAGCCCTCTGCTGTGGCCCAGGAGTGCAGTGGAGGATGGCCCAGGTGCTTGGGCCCTGCACCCCATGGGAGACCAGGAAAAGCACCTGGCTCCTGGCTCCTGCCATCGGATCAGCGCGGTGCGCCGGCCGCAGCGCGCCGGCCGCGGCAGCCATTGGAGGGTGAACCAACGGCAAAGGAAGACCTTTCTCTCTGTCTCTCTCTCTCTCACTGTCCACTCTGCCTGTCAAAAAAAAAAAAAAAAAAAAAAAAAAAAAAAAAAAAGGAATGGTTTCCTCATGAATCCATTAGCAAAAGACCAGGAACTAAGCCATCAATACCCAAAATATTATTCGAACCATAACCGTAGTGCGTGTGAGAAATGCTTTGAAATGACTGAAGTAGGGTTATCAGTTTATTTGACACCCACCTCCCCCTATTTATATTCTGATGGGATACCACTCCTTCTTCTGGTTACGAGAACCTTCCTAAGTGGCAGGAATGAAGGTTGGGGGCAGACTGAAGGCAAAAGGACCACATAGAAGCCTTAGTGTTACCCTTCGCTCTTTGTTTCACAACACATCCCAATCCAGAAGCTCTCCAAAATATATTCAGTATATCCCAAGCCAGAACACAAACACAAATGTAAATATTAGAAAAATATTTCAGAATTCATTTTCAGGTGAGACTGTTTTGAGATCTTTCGGTAATATCTGAAAATAAAACATCTTAGAAGGAGAAGACGTGGGCTAGAAACACGTGCCAGACCTCGGTCATTAGGAGGCCAAACTCCGGGTTTCCGCGTCTGGAAGATGAAAATAGTAAGTGTTGATCTCACAGGATTATTGTGAGGGTGACTTGCTATGTAAAGGGCCTGGAAATATACGTCACACAAGCGCTAAGTTTCTGATTATGACGGCATCATTTCATCTGTAAAACATAAGCCACTGCCAAAGCACTGGAGAACTAAGAGGCCTATCCCCGCCCCCGTTTCTCAGACATTATGATTGGTCCCGTCGTATGACGCAAGAATGACTCCGCCTTCTCATTGGCGAAGAGTTGCTGCCTATTAGTAGCGGGCCGAGGGGCCCGTCTTTGGATTCTGTGCTTGCGTGAGCCTCGCTTTCTGGGCTTAGCCTGTGCGCATGCGTCTGGTCCTCGCCATGTCCCAGCACGCCCCGCGGCGGTTTCCGATGTGGCACCTAGAAAACGACGAGTCGGCGAGTCGGCGGGCCACGGCTGAGGGCTTTTCCTGCCGGGGCGGAGCGAGGCGGGTCTGAGGGCTGCGGCTGCGCCCGCGCCCCCTGCCCTGCGGATCTCGGCTCGGGCCTGGGTCCCGGGACGGGGCTGGGCCCTCTGTGCGGGGAGCCCGGCTTGCGGCCCTGGCCCCGTCGGAGCGCCTCTCCCGGGTTTTCCCGCGCAGCCTCCCTCGGAAGGCTCAGGCCTCTTCGTCTGCGGTCTGCGGGAATAAAACACTCGGCCCCTGACGGCCTGGTGCGTCCTCGCGCCGGGCAGTGAGCGCGTGGAGGCGACACAGACGCCGCCTGCGCAAGGCCCCCAGGCCGCGGTGGAGCAGATAAACTCCCGCCAGAAACGGGTCTGGTGTCAGGTGGATGGAGAGAGCGCGCCTTGGGAGCCAGAGGCCCCGCCGGCCCCGTGAGTCTCTCGGGGTCTTTGAAGCCTGTGTTCCTATCTCCACATCGCGAATGCCTCGGCCCGGCTCGGCAGGGATGCTGACTGCTGATCGCTGTGCACGGAGGGAGTCCAGCCTTGGGCCAGGGCGCGAGTACACGACGCCAGGGTGTAAGGCGGTGTCTAGAGAATGTCGTCACCCTGGCGGGTGCTACTGACACCTAGTGGGTGGATGCGGGTTTGCAGCTGCACTTCCTACGCAGAGGGTGCACGCCCACCATTCTGCAAACCCGGCCTGAGAGTGGCAGTCGTGGAAGTGGAGGGAGGACGGGTGTCCCAGACAGCTCGGCCAAGTGGTGCCTCCTTTTGTGTTCTTTATGATGGCGGTTAAGTGTTTGCCACCCAGTTGATTCTGAAATCTGCTGGCCCCGTCTTACTTCTTTCACTCATTCATTTGCCAACTAATTATTTAGCAGCAGATATTCTTCAGGTTGCTGAGGTTCAGCAGTGCGTGAGACAAAGTCTCTGCTCTCAGGATCTTAGATTCCTGCAAGGAGTTAAGAGCCACTAACTATACACCTATGTCAAGCTGCGACGTGTGCCGTGAAGTTCCTGTAAGCTGGCATTTCATTCCCACCACGTACCATTCACTCAGCACCTTCCAAGTGCCGGGCACTAGGCCAGATGTTTCACGAATACCATTTCTGTACTTCCCTGTCTTGCAAGGTAGGTCTTGTATCCCCAGATGACAAAAAGAGGCTCAGGGAACTGAATAATTTTCCCCAAATCAGTTAGTTTGGAGCTGAGCTGGGACTTGGATCTACCTAACGGTCCATCGGCGGTTTCCACTAGAGCACTGTGACCATACGCCAGGCTGATTTGGATAGGAGAAGGAATCCATCCTCTCCAAGTCAGAAAAGCGAAGTAGAAGTGAACTCTCACGTTTCGCTCCTTTTGTCAGGGTGAAGTTTCTACCAGGGAGGCCCAGTTGGAGGAGGCTCTTCAGAGTTGTGGGCCCTGAATGTGGGGCCAGAGATCAGCCTCAGTTGGGGTTGGAGTCCTCTCCACTCTTGACGTTCTCCCAGATGGCTGATGGACGAAAGCTGACTCCTTAGAGGGGTCGACGACTTAGCACTCTCACAGTCGTCCTGCAGACTCCTGTGTCTGTCAGCAAGTGTCTTGGAGCTCAGCCACTGATGGCTGCAGCCAGAGTTGTGCAAGGGAGTTGGTGGCGCTGAAGCAGTTCCTGACCGCTGTGCACAGAGAGCTCTGACCTGGCCGAGAGAGTGTCCTCCAGAAGGCGGTGAGCTTGGTGCGCGTGGAGAACCTGGGAGGCCAGCGCAGCGGGCGAGAAAGGGCCGAGTTGCAGAGGCTGTAGTGTAGGAAGACAGGCCGCTGGAACGAGGTGGAGCAGCTGCTTCGGCGCTTTCCTGAGTGATGTCCAGGCCAGCTGGCGTGAGGGAGGATGGGACGAGGGCAAAGTGAGATGCCCTCGCCAGTCAGCACGCGTGCAGGGAGTCTCTGTGTCCCAGGAATGAAGGCGGGAGGACACTTATCCTAGGGCAGCTCAGCCGTCCCCTCTGCAGGTTGTGCTCACCTGAGCCTTCCCTGAGAACGAGAATCTTCTGGTTCTGGGAGTGCCTGCTCTGCCATGGAGGAGTCACAGTGCCCAGTAAGGTAGGGCTTTTTTTAAAGATTTATTTTATTTATTTGCAAAAGTTACAGAGAGAGGTACAGACAGAGAATTCTTCCATCCACTGGTTCATTCCCCAGATGACTGCAACGGCCAGAGCTGCACCAATCTGAAGCCAGGAGCCAGGAGCTTCTTCTGGGTCTCCCATGAGGGTGCAGGGACCCAAGGGCTTGAGCCATCCTCCACTGCCTTCCTGGGCCACAGCAGAGAGCTGGATTGAAAGAGGAACAGCCAGGATTAGAACCGGTGCCCATATGGGATGCTGGCGCTGCAGGCCAGCACTTTAACCTTCTGCGCCATGGCGCCAGCCCCAAGGTAGAATTTCAGTTAAGTCCCCAGTGTCCAAGTGGCACCTCTCCTTGAGGTAGACTAATACAAGTGGATATCCTGTCAAGAAGGAGCTAGGGTGGGATCAGCTGGGGCTTGGAACTGCGCGTAAGGTGTGTCAGAGGGCCTGGGTGTGGGGGCTGCTGTAGACCTGAGCAGACAGGACTCTGCCATGCTGTGCCTCCAGCAGGTGTGGTACTGAGGTCCTGCCTCCTGCTCTGCTCCTGTTCTTCCTGGCCGCACGTCCTGCAGTCTGCATCGAGTTTCCAGCTCTGGCTCTCCGGGAGTCTATCCTCCTGCCCCTCCCTTCTGCACCTGAATAGTGACCTGCAGCCGTGAAGCAGGGAGTCAGAGGTAGGATTTTGCAGTGTGTGCTCCAAGAGGTGCAACCATGGGGCCATGGGAAGAACTGCCAAGCTCCTGCTGGAGCCAGGTAAGACCAGTTCTCAGAGAGCTTCCCAAGAGATGGCCAGATCTCATACTCAGTACAGTTCAGCCCATAGAGGTTACTGAGGAACTCAGTACTTTTTTTTTTTTTGACAGGCAGGGTGGACAGTGAGAGAGAAAGAGAGACAGAGAGAAAGGTGGAACTCAGTACTTTAAGAAGTGGCAACAGCACATTTCAGGCTAGAAGGGTGAGACTGGAGGGATGAGGGAAGGAAGGAAAGAAGGAAGGAGGAAGGGACAGCGTGAAATGAGAAGAAAGTAATAACCGCCCCAGACAGACAAATCCACTGCTGGCAGTAGGACCCAGGACTCCTCGTTACAAAATGAAGAAAAATCTGGGGAAGTCACTGTGGCGCAGTGTAAGCTCTGCCGGGGAGGCTCACATCCACACCAGAGTCCCCAGGCCTGAGTCCTGGCTCCTCTGCTGCTTGCCTGGCTCCTCGCTAATGCACACCCAGGAGGCAGCAAGTGGTGGCCCAGGTACTGGAGTCCCTGCCACCAGTGTGTGAGAGACCTAGACTGAGTTCTGGGCTCCTGGTTGAGCCTGGCCCACCTCTGCTATTAACAGACATTTAGGTAGTAAACCACTGGGTGAGAGATGCTTGTCTTTTTCTGTCTGTCCCTGTTGCTCTTTCAGATAAATAAAAATTGATAAAACCTAAAAAAAAGAAAGAAATAAATAAACATGGGAAAGAGTGCAGCTCTTTTCACTTTGTCATTTAACCTGGGATAGCAGGGGCTACCAGGAAACCAGGCTGTACTTGGAAATCTCTGTACATCCCAAATTCATGAAAAACGTCAGACGTGACCCTGGAGTAGCCAAGCAGGGCAGGAGCACAGCTTCCTGCAGACACCAGCCAGCCTGGGAGGCGCCCAGTTTGTCAGCTGTCAGGCTGACGGCTGCAGGGAGTGGGGAGGCCACTTGCTCGAGGCCTGTGTTCTCTGTGTGTGGACAGCGCTGTGTCCTTTTTGTCTCTACCCAGAAACCAAGTGCGGGTTGAGCTGGACAGTGAGAACTGAAGATTCCATCCAAGATGAAGTGAGGGGTAGAGGATGCCAGGGGCCCTGGGGTGTTCCCAGACTGAATGAAGAAGGAGGTCGCCTCAGCGGAGGCACCCAGAGGAAGAGAAGTCGGGCGAGGAAGCTCAAGGGGCCCGGCTGTTGTTTAGGCTGTGACCATGTGCCGGCCACCTCCAGCTGAAAGCGCAGTATGGCTGTGGCAGGGGTGGCTTCTGTGGGCTTTGCTCTGCTCCTTGGGGTGTAGTGAAGCTGTGTGACCTGGTCCTCAGTAAGTGGTTAAGAAACCTTAAAAAAAAAAGGAATAGTGTCAGTTGAAAATTATATCAATTTGTTCCAACTGTTTTTTTCCAGTGAGATTAGGAGGTACAGAAACTTTATGGAGAACCCCAGTATTCAACTTAAAGGACGTCAGAAGGGAGGATAATAGACATCACAAGAACTGTAGACGTAGAGGTGTTGCCTGTTACATAACCTACTTCAGATTCATGTCCAGTGTCTGGTGCAGCATCAGGCCTTTGGGCAATGGAAGGTAGCACGGTGAGGTCCTGTCGTCAGTTGACAAAAAAAGGGAGGGAAGGAGAGACAGAGAGACCCCAGCATTTTTTTTTTCAAAATTAACACAAAAACCTGATTGTTCAAATTTAGTAGAAGTAGGAATCCTGTGCTTGCCTTGACCTTGCCAGCTGGGTTTCTCACATACACCTACACGTCCAGAACGGAACCTTGCATTTCCTGCATGCCTGCAGCTTTGCTCGGCATCTCCCTCTTGTTGGGCGGCATTTCCTTTCACCTCCCGGCACCCTCTTCAAACCAGAAACCTGACGGTCATCGTGACGTCCGCTTTGGCCAACCCCATAGCTGGTCTCCCGCTAGTCTATCACGTTGATTTTACTTCTGACATACAGACGTCCCACCCACTTTTATCCATAACCTGTGCCATCATTTGACTAGACAGCTGTCTCTGGACATCAGAACCAAAGAGTCTCGTCTGCTCCCCTTGCTTCTCCTTCTGTCTGCTCTCCTCTTTCTCCACACAGAGAATTCTGTCATTCCCTGCTTACATGTCCAGCTGCTTCCTATTACACTTAGAATAAAATCCAACTTTCTTAGCATATGATAATAAAGTGCAGTCAGGAAAAAGGAAACCATTCTAGGCATTTCTTTCTTTCTTTCTTTCTTTTTAAGATTTTATTTATTTGAGAGGTAAAGGTTACAGACAGAGAAGCAGAGACAGAAAAGTCTTCCATCCACTGGTTCACTCCCCAGATGGCTGCAACGGCCAGAGCTGAGCCAATCTAAAGCCACGAACTTCTTCCGGTTCTCCCATGCTGGTTTAGGGGCCCAAGCACTTGGGCCATTTTCCACTGCTTTCCCAGGCCATAGCAGAGAGCTGGATCGCAAGAGGGGCAGCATACATACGGGATGCCGGCACTGCAGGAGGAGGCTTAGCCTACTGTGCCACCATACTCTCCCTCGTTCTAGACACTGCAGAGAGAATTAAATGTAAAGAATTTGTTAGACGGGTTTGGTAGAACTGAAAAAAAACTGAAACCCTATGGCACAGAGGGTAGCTGTAAGCAGCTATGACACACAGGATTAGGGAAACAGCGGAAAAGGGTTGGCTTTACCAGAACCTGGAAGCTTGGCAGAGAGGCCCTGCAAAGCTGGGCTTGGGGCTGGCAGTGCTGCCTGACTGGTGCCGGTGCCTGAGTGGCCCAGTGAAGTTGTGTCTGGAAGACACAAGATCTGCTTCGGCCGCTGCTTTGTCTGACTCCTGGACCTGGTGCAGACATTATCAGGAAGCAGATATATTTTGAATAAATGAATGCATTTTCCGGTTCTCACCTGTCTATTCCAGACCGTCTGGAGTCACTTGACAGCAAGGGTTGGGGACTCTGGGGCTGGCGCTCCCTTTCTGCCCAGCACACTAGAGGATCAGGCAGGTGGGAGGGTGCAGCCTGCGCACACAGGGAGTTCAGCAGCTGAGCCCCAGTCTTCCTGACCATAGTGGGCCCAGGAATGAGGAGCCTTAGTGAGGCCTCTCTGTTGGCTTCTCTGGCTCTCTCATTTCCCAGACCAGCTTCTGGGAGCAGACATCCAAAGCCCTTCAGCAGCTGGTCTGTCCCTGGGCTGTCTTCCTTTCCTACAAGTCACCAGTGAAGTCAGGTTGTCCCAAACAGGTCACCTCCAAGCCCACACCTGCCTTTGCCCAGCCTCTCTCTCCAAAGCGGCTTCTCCTGTGTGGAGCAAACACTCAACTTCTTGTTCTGCCTCTGCTTATTCCTCTCACCAAAGCCACAGTTTTCTGCGCTTGAGAGTGGTTCCCACAGAGGAAAGGGGGAGAGACTGCAGCACAGAGTCCCGGGGGGGCTGGGATGGGCTGGGGGTTGCTTCTCACTCTCCCCTGGAGAACTGAGGTGTTGCCCTCTTGACGCTGGCTCATTCTTCCAGCCTGTTCTTGGCTCAAAATGGCAAAAGTCTCTCTACTGGACGTCTCTGTAAAGCCTCTTCGTTTCTACTTCCTCTGAATCATTGCATTTGACTCTTTTTTTTTAATCTCATTTCTTGATCTCAAAACCTGAAAAAAAACAGAACACTACACTGTAGAGAAGGAAGACAGTAGAATAAGAGTTAAAACTAAACTACTACAAAGAAGAAATACCAAATTGAATTCTTCCTGTGGTTAATTAGGTTAATTAAAATTTTAAGTTTTCTAATTCATGTTTTTGAGTTCCAAATTCTGTGGTCACAGGCTCTCTAACTCTACCCACTTTTGTTCTGTTCTCTCCCTTTTTGGATGTTCTGGCCCAGGGATAAATCTGAGGCAGAGGGCCAAGCTCTGTGTCATCTGCCAGCCTGTTTATAGGTTTGTTCTCAAGTCTTTTTTTTATTATTATTATTATTTCATTGATTTATTTGAGAGGTAGAGCTAAAGAGAGAGGGAGAGACAGAGAGAGAGGTCTTCCATCTGCTGGTTCACTTCCCAAATGGCCACAACAACCAGAGCTGGGCCAATCCAAAGCCAGGAGCCATGAGTTTCTTCCGGGTACCCCACATGGCTGCAGGGGCCCAAGCTTCTGAGCCATCTTCCACTGCTTTCCTAGGTCATAAGCAGAGAGCTGGATAGGAAGAGGAGCAGCCGGGATACGAACCGGTGCCCATAAGGGACACCGGTGCCACAGGCAGAAGCTTAGCCTACTAAGCCACAGCACTGATCCCTGTTCTCAGTTCCTAAGTGTCCTGACTTCTGGGAGTAAAACAACAAAGCCTGCCCCAAGTTTGACCAGCTCAGTCAGGAAGAAAGCATGTGGCTGACTTCCTGATGACACAGGCCCAGCCTGAGAAAGAAGTAGCCTTGCTAGAGGAATGAAGAAGGTGAAGGATGGTCTAGAGGCCTGCCTGGCCCTCAGGGGAAGCAAAGCAGTGGAACTCGATGAGCAGAGATGACATGAGCTCAGTGAAAGGGGCGGGCGGAGGCTCCCATGTGAGGGAAAGGGCTGGGCCGCCGCCTCCGTCCCCATCCAGCATAGTCCACTCCCATCCCAGAGCACACTGAAGTCGGGGCGCCCCTGAAGATGTGTGTTTAGCCTTAGTGTAGATGTCTGTTCCAGGAACCTCACTGGAAACCAGAAACATGTTTTCCCAAATGAAAGTAGTAGATGGTTTAGACATAGTTCAGCCACTAAGCCTTTATCAGCAGTGGACAGCAGCAGAGGAAACCGTACAGTGTATGGAAATGATAATGCAGATACATATTTTTGATTGTTTAATTTGAAAGTTTACATGTTTTATGCTTTGTGTTGGTGTGTAATTTTTGTACTATTGGTGGCTAGCTTTTGTCTAAGATCTTTTTGGAATATTGCTTAAATGTTTTTATTTTCATGACAGTGAATCTTGTATTCAGTGCTTTGCCAATTAATATTATATGCTTGTAGGCCGGCGCCGCGGCTCACTAGGCTAATCCTCCGCCTTGTGGCGCCGGCACACCGGGTTCTAGTCCCGGTCGGGGCGCCGGATTCTGTCCCGGTTGCCCCTCTTCCAGGCCAGCTCTCTGCTGTGGCCCAGGAGTGCAGTGGAGGATGGCCCAAGTCCTTGGGCCCTGCACCCCATGGGAGACCAGGATAAGTACCTGGCTCCTGCCATCGGATCAGCGTGGTGCGCTGGCCGCAGCGCGCCGGTCATGGCGGCCATTAGAGGGTGAACCAACGGCAAAAAGGAAGACTTTTCTCTCTCTCTCTCTCTCTCTCTCTCACTGTCCACTCTGCCTGTCAAAAAATATATATTATATGCTTGTAATAAAAGCAAAAGAAAAACAACTAAAAAGAGAGAGAGAGAGAGAGAGGCTGGCAGAAGGGAAATGACCCTTAAACACCATGAAAACCAGGACCCCTGGGCTGTCTGGGGTCACACAAGATGATGAAAAACCTGGAAGCAGTGACAGCTCCCTCTCAACTGCTAATGGCCTTTAAGTAGATTCTCCCGTGCTTTGGCCATCAGTGCTGAGCCCTACCGAGTCAGTTTGGGAATGGGACTGGCAGGTCAAGTGTCTAACTTCCTGGCTGGGGTTCCAGAAGTACTTTTCATCCTTGGCTGCCATCCATGGTGCCATCTTCTACAGCTTGTGGGATCTGCATTCTTCTGAGTCAGCCCTACACCTCAATATCCTTTCTCTCTTTGCTTACGGAGGAGATGCAGAGACCCGGGCACTGGAAAGAGCATCCATGGGGGTTGGTGCTGTGGTGTGACAATTAAAGCTACCACCTGCAATGCGGCATCCCATAGGGGCCCTGGTTTGAGACCAGCTGCTCCACTTCCGGTCCCGCTCTCTGCTATGGCCTGGGAAGGCAGTAGAAGATGGCCCAAGGAATCCTGTACCCACATGGGATACATGGAAGGAGCTCCTGGCTCCTGGCTTCATATTGGCCCACCTCCGACCCTTATAGCCATTTGCAAAGTGAACAAGAGGATGGAGTATCTCTCTCTCTGCTTCTGCCTCTGCCTCTCTGTAACTCTGCCTTTCACATAAGCAAATAATGTTTGAAAAAGGAGAGAGCTTCCACTTACACAAGGTTCAGACACATGCCTTCTTGGCTTCACAGTAACTTGACTGGAGGCTCTGCAACTTGGTGTGACAGAACGCCCTACTCCCAGTCATTCTGCCGCGGCCGTTTGTGTCTGCTGTTCTCGTGGGCCTGAGGGTTTTCACAGTGGAGAACTACTGAGAATGGCCAGGAGTGTCTTGGTCTCTCCATAGCCCCAGCGCACACCTGCTGCCAGGGACAAAGAACAGGCAGTCAGATCAGGGAGGACCACATGCTGTAGTGTGGGCGTTTAGTAGCTCAAGAGGTTCCGTCCTAGTTTTTCAAACGGCCACTGCTGGCTACTGGTACTCCTGGGATGGTATCTCACTGTGCCTTTTCCATAAAACATAAAAGACTTTTATGTAGAAAAGACACGCTCTCTTGGAAAGGACCTGTGGAGTTACCCACTAAAGCTGCTCTTTTTATGGCTCTTTAATTATCTTCTCACTTCCCGCGGAGCAGGGTCGTACCTTGCCTATCAGCCGCTGTGGGTCTCCCTGGGGGTGGCTCTACCAAGGGACCCAGGGAACCGTCAGGATCTGGAAGCCAAGTTTCAGGACAGAGAACTGGTCACAGGAGATGGGTGCCTGCTCCCTCCTCCCATACAGGAGTGCCTTTTCATCTGGCCCTTCTCTGTCTGAATATATTACCTGTCATCCTTGCAGATACAGGAAACTAAATCACAGGTACCCAAGTTAGTGTCCCAGGGTGAGACCAAGTAGTGAACATCTGGGAACAGCACAGGCTGTTGGATGCCCAGGAACACTCAGTGCACTCCTGCAACCAGCAGGGCCAGTTCACGAGGGGTCATCTGTCTGGAGCTGTCTCAGCAAGTGCATCTGATGCCATCTGGTCGTGATGGTCTACAGGCCATCAGCCCCTTCCATGCCCAGCCACCCTCCTCTCATGCCTGGATCACTGCCGCGGCTTCCCACCTGGCTGTTCATCTGGGGACCTCCTACAGTCTGTTTCCAACCCAGAGGCTAGAGGGAGCCCCTCCTTTCCATTCAGTTCGGTTGATGTACACCACATGCCTACAGTGCTAGTTTCCAAGCAGTGCAGTTACGACACAGGCCTTGCATTCAAGGAGGTCGCAGTAGCAGAGAGAGATACAAACAAACGTTTACATAGAGTCAAGTGCCAAATCGAAATACTCAAAGTGCTCCTTTTATATATTTATTTTTATTTAGTTATTAGAGTTACACAGAGAGAAGAGGAGAGGCAGAGAAAGAGAGAGGTCTTCCATCCACTGGTTCACTCCCCAGATGACTGCAACGGCCAGAGCTGTGCCAATCCAAAGCCAGGAGCCAGGAGCTTCTTCCGGGTCTCCCACGTGGGTGCAGGGGCCCAAGGTCTTGGGCCATCTTTTACTGCTTTCCCAGGCCATTGCAGAGAGCTGCATCAGAAGTAGAGCAGCCAGGATTTGAACTGGCACCCATATGGGATGCCGGCACTCCAGGCAGCAGCTTTACCTGCTACGCCACAACGGCTGCCCCTCGGAGTGCTGCTTTTAAAACTATTATTCCTCTGTCCATAATCCTCCAGTTTTCATTGAGAGTAACAGTGAAAGTCTTCCTGTAAGGCCACAAGGCTCTGTTAGTGTTTCTCAAACTATATTTGAAGATCAGGTTTTTGTGTTAATTTTGAATAAAAATGCAGTTGGTTAGTGTAGGAATTTCAGGTTGCAACAAGTTTCTAAACACCCATCCGCCATGTGGAAGACCTAGATAGAGTTTCTAGCTCCTGGCTTCAGCCTGGCCCAGCCCCGGCCATTGCAGCCATTTGGGGAGTGAACGAGTGGATGGAACATAAGATCTCACCGCTCTCTTTCTGCCTCTGCTGCTGCTTCTCTGGAATTCTCACTTTCACGTATGTAAATAAATCTTGTTTTAAATAAAGCAATATGGATATTTTAAATAAAATTAATAAACAAGGAAATGTCTGCATAAGCCTCCTACCTGGAGGTAACCACAGTACTCTTTAAAAAATACCACAGTAACTGAAACCTTTTATATTTTTCATACTGAAATAATACATTTTATCTTTTTTTTTTAATTTGACAGAGTTATAAATAGTGAGAGAGAGAGAGACAGAGAGAAAGGTCTTCCTTCCGTTGGTTTACTCCCCAAAAGGCCACTACAGCCAGCACTGTGCTGATCCGAAGCCAGGAGCCGGGTGCTTCCTCCTGGTCTCCCATGCGGGTGCAGGAGCCCAAGCACTTGGGCCATCCTCCACTGCCCTCCAAGGCCACAGTAGAGAGCTGGACTGGAAGAGGAGCAACTGGGACTAGAACCCAGAGCCCATATGGGATGCTGGTGCCTCAGGCAGAGGATTAACCAAGTGAGCCACAGTACCAGCCCCAATACATTATTTCTTAAATACCTACATTCAGGAATTCTATAAATGAAATAATTCATTTTTACAATTTATCATAGAACTCAGCAGAAACTCAGGGGTATGTGAGCCCTGGAGAGTTACAATACTCCAGTTCTGGGAGTGGCCACCAGTGTGGGGAGCACAGGGCACAGCCCCTGAAGCACAGCGAGTCCTGCCCACTTCCACTCACAGCCCCACCTGGCCTAAAGCTTCAGAAATCACACATGAGGTGGCACAAGTGCCCCCAGGGATTGAAAAGCATTAAATGCCAAGTTGCAAAGTTTACAAAGCTACAGATAAGATACTTACTTTGCTTAAAAAATATTAAAACAAATATACCTGTTAGATAATCTTCTGTTTTATCAACACAAGTTTGCTAACTTTAAATCATTAAGAGACAATATTTTCTTCTAAGATTTGAATTATGTAAAAAAAACTACCTAGCAACTCATAATGGTATCTTTCAGTTAAGACAAAATGTACTTTAAGGCCATCTATAAATATAGTCAATTAAATAGCTCCATGGAGAAAAACTTAGATAAGTACAGAACCCTAGTACAACCAGGTAATGGGAACTATTCTACCATAAAGAGGAACTAAGTACTGACATATGCTCAAAACATGCTAAGGGAAAGGAGGAGATGTACAGTTCAGCACACGCTCACTCGGACTTACCCCTAATGGTAGAGTTAGAAACGTGCCATGGGACTCCAAATCCCATTAAGTTGGCATGTACCAATGCCATCTTACTAGTTAAAGTGATCAGTTTAAGTTCATAATTGATCATAATGATAGGATTAAGTGTCAAAGGGATCACATAAATAAGACCAGTGTCTACTAATAATAATTGGTGAAATTAAAAAGAAGAGAACGATCCAACATGGGAAGTGGGATACACAGCAGACTCATAGAATGGCAAATGCCCTAAACAGCACTCTGGCCTCAGAATCAGCCCTTAAGGCATTCGGATCTGGCTAAAAAGCCCATGAGAGTTTTTCAGGCATGGAAAGCAAAGACACTGTGGAAAAAAACAAAAACCAAAAACCAAAAAAACAAACAAAAACAACAACAAAAAAAAAACAAACCTAAGTGAAAGATCTCTGTGAGATCCCAGCAGAAAGAATGGGCCATCAAAGAAGGAGGTACCTTTCTCTGAAGGGAGGAGAGAACTTCCACTTTGACTATGACCTTGTCTGAATAAGGTCAGAGTTTGTGAACTCAAGAGGCTTCCATAGCCTTGGCAGCTCATGGCAAGAGCCTCGGGTCATTACTGACATCATAAATAAGAGTGTCAGTTGTTAAATCAACAACAGGAGTCACTGTACACTTACTCCCCATGTAGGATCTCTGTCCTTAATGTGTCATACTACGTGAATTAATGGTAAAACTAGTATTCAAACAGTACTTTATTTATTTTTTTTAATGATAAACATTATGGTCAGGCTGTTTATTAAGGAGGCAACCATATATACAAGTTCTGCTATTGAAATGTTTGCAAATCAACTTCATGTGATCTAAAAGGACCATGTGCAATGTCAAAGATGGACACTTGTACATTCAATAGAAAGTTAATTTAAACATACATAGTCTAGATCATTCTAGAGTTATACAAACATCTGGGGCCACATATGTGTCTAATTCTCTTTCAAAAAAAAACCCCCTTTTTTTTTTTTATAAAAGTGATGTGCTGAGATAATTTTAAAAAGCAGCTGACACAATTACGAATGGTCCCCAGCTTACAAAATGTGATTTCCAGGGTATGAAAACTGAAAAAAGTCAATGCTTCAGAGTGTCTTATGTTATACAAACAAGTTTTGCAGGAATCGCACAGTACTTTACACTTTGTGTGTCTGTTGGAATCTTTCCTCAGTATATACTAAGTTGAAAGTCTGTTCCTCTGCTGGACAGCCTACGGACACTGGGATCACAGTGCTTCTGGCTGCTCCCAATGGGGGTGTCTCCATGAGTGCTTTCAAGTCCTTCCCAGAACCTGGGACCTGGGAACAGACCCCAGCGTCTGTCCCCACAAATTCCTGCCTACGCTGGACTGAAACCTTTAAGACTGGCATTTAAAAAATGGTATTAGGGGCTGGCACTGTGGCTTAGTGGGTAAAGCCACCGCCTACAGCACCAGCATTCCATGTGGTTGCCCATTTGAGTCCCGGCTGCTCCACTTCCAATTCACCTCTGCTAATGGGCCTGGGAAAGCAGCAGAGGATGGCCCAAGTGCTTGGGTCCCTGCACCCACTTGGGAGACCTGGAGAAAGTTCCGGGCTCCTGGCTTTGTATCAGCGCAGCTCCAGCCGATGCAGCCAATTGGGGAGTGAACCAATGAATGGAAGTCTCTCTCTCTCTCTCTCTGCCTCTCCTCTATGTAACTCTGACTTTCAAATAAATAAATCTTTTTAAAAAATTAATATAGTCTTTGAAGGGATACAATTGTTGACCTTAAAGCACAGGCAGAGGACCCAGCACACGTGAACTGCTAAAAATGGTGTATATTTGCCAGAGACTGTCAGCTTTCACTTAAGGAAATCCCTGTGTCGCAGCACTGGGCCATCTCCCCTCCTCCCAAATCCCGTGTCAGTGCTGCCTTCCAAAGGCAGCTTGCATTGGTCCTCTTCTCTCTGCCTGCACAGCTGGCTGGAGCCAGCCCAGGACACTGCCATGTTCCAGCCGCCCTGCGGCCTCTACGGCCATACCCTCCAATCTGCTCTCTTTCCACATGGAATCCAGTGAGATCTTTTCAGAATGGAAGATCCCATCCCTCTCTGGTAACACTGCGGTGGCTTCTCCCTGCCCACGGAATAAAATCCAGATCCTCTCCGCAGCAAAGGCCTGGCAGGATGGAGCCCCTGCCTTCCTCCCTCACCTTTCCAATCACTGCTCCTCTTGATCCCAGAGGTCCAGTCCCAGCTCCTCCCTGGTCATGGGCCTGGCCCTGTGCCGTGCTCTCCACCTGGAGTGTTCCTGTCCAGCTCTCGGTACAGCTGGCTCACTGCCCTCCCTGATGTCTTAGTCAGTGTGGCCCCACGATCATTCTCAGGTCACCCACTCATTTCCTTCCAAGCACACATGACATGGAGTTTATTCACCTGCAGCCTGTCTCTCCATCATGCAATGCAGGCTGCGGCAGGCCAGGGCCATCATGTCTTGTTTATTGTCTTTTTCTTTCATAACCATCTTCATTCTTTAAATCTCATGCTTACAGTTCATCCTTAAAATGAATGAGGAGAGGTCCTGAGAGGCAACCGGGTCCTGAGAAGTGGCACCAACCTCCATCCCTACTTCCTCTTCCCCCTTCACGGTCAGGATCGGTTTCCAATAGCTGCTTTACCACCTCTGCCCCTGCACTGTTTTCATGGCTCCGAAGTGGGGAGGACAGAAGGGTAAAGACTGTCAACACTGAAGTGCGGGGGCTCGGGGTACTGTTAGTACCGAGGGATCCCTGCTGGGTTGAGGCCACCCCTGCCCCTCCTCATCCAGTCCTACCTTTTGGTGGAGTGCTGACCCACAGACTTCAGCTTAACGTCCTTAACTTCTTCCCTGATGCCTCCCACCATGCTGCTCTTCATCTGCATCCCTCCTCACAGCTCCTCTTCCTCCACAGCCACGCACCCTGTACCTCATCTCCCCAGCCCCACCTGGGTCCTTCCTGTTCCAGCCCCTCAGTCTGCTTCCTGCTGACTGCAGAACACTCCAGTGGAGCCACATGCCTCTGACCACACCCCTGCATCACGCTAGGCCTCTCCTCAACTTCTCAGCTGGATTTTGGTTGCCTTCTTCCCACCAAATCTCCCACTACCAAAGCCCAGTGTTACTTTTCCTTCTCCTGTACCTTTCGTATCTCCCTTCTCCCAGGCTGTTCAAGCAGGTTACACCCAGAACTGATCAGTGATTCTGCCACAAGAGGCTAGTTTATGAACCCATCACTGTCCCAAACTGACCACTCAATCCACACAGCAAGAATCAGGGCAAGGCCCAGCGTGGCTACAACTTCCATGTACTACAGATGGCACTGTGCCCTCAAAGAACCTTCTAGCAAGAGATCAGATTTGAATTCATCAGAATCTCTCATTTTTCTGACCCTTCCAGTAAAAGAGTTGTCCTTTCCCTGGCCTTTAAAAAATGATTCATTTGAAAGGCAGAGAGAGATCTGCCATCTGCTGTTTCACTCCCTAAATGCCTGCAAAAGCCAGGGCTGGGTCAGGATGAAGCCAGGAGCCCGGAACTCTATCTGGGTCTCCCACGTGCCTGGCAGGGATTCAGGTATTTCAGCCATCACCTGTTGCCTTCCCAGGTGCAGACTAGCAGGAAGCTGGAATAGGAAACAGCCCAGACTCACACCCAGACACTGCAAGACAGGATGTTGGCATCCCGAGCAGCATCTACACTGCGGTGCCAGATGCCCACTCCCGCACCCCTAGCTTGCTTTTGGAGAATTTTTTCTGAATGTTTTTACAACTTTAATTAGGGACTGGAAACATTCCCAAGTATATGAATGTCTACTAGTTACACCTGCAGGTGAGAAATTATTCCCATACAGTGAGGACGTAGGGCCAACCCAAGATAGCCGAGTGGCAGAGGGCTACTGTGCCAGTCTCAACTAAGGGCCTCTCTAGAAACTGGATTCTGGGGCTCCTCATTCCAACTCCTTCATGACCAAAACCACAGGGTCCAACTTTATTTTCTCACCTGTTGTCCTGGGATCTCTGTGCATCCTCAGAGCCATGGCTTCCTCAGCATTTTCTGGATGCTGGTCCTCACCCGTTCTGGATCTCCTCTGGGCAAGATGTCAGAAACTACTCCGAAACCAGAAGCTCCGGGATCTGTTCTTTCGAAAGAAGTTTCAGCCACTGACGAAAGAGTTCCCTAAGAAGCTGCTTTGGGGCCAGCAACCTCCTTGCAGCAGAAGTGCCTGGAATGCTGCTGGGAGGCCTCGCTGGCTGATTTCTGTCCCTGTGCGGTTCCTGTTTTTTCTTTCTTGAGGGTGGGTGAGCCCAGGGACTCCTTGCTGCAGCCATCACTTGCTGAGTCTGGTGGGGTCAGATTGCGTCTCTTCCCAGTCACTGGGAAGCCATGTTCTCCTAGCAGTCCTGGAATCAGAAGTAGGTAAGCATGTCACAGATACGCAGAGACTCACATGGACATAAAGGCTCCACTCTGAATGCAGGCCACAAAGATAACAAATCCTTCTCAGAGGCCTTCGCTCTGCTTACTATTGATTTTCCATCCTTTTCCTTGACTCTCTCCACAAACCCATGCCAAGGTCCAGGACAGGAGGCCGTGCAGTCTGCTTTCTTTCCCCGCATACCTGGGTCCTTCTCCTGCCCCTGGAAGCCTCCACTCACCCTCCAGAGTGCCGCGTTGTCTTGAGGAGAGAACGACTGTGTAGGCTCCTTCATTAACCTCTTACTGCCGCTGTCAGGCCATCCCCCCACTGTCACCCACGTGACCGCACGCACGCACAGCCGCTGGGTGACTGTTCTGGTCTCTGTGTTTTTATTCCCCAGCATCCCTTTCCCACTTTGGAGAGCAGCAGCATGTTCCTTTTGGAGATTCTACTTCAGAGGTTCGGATGGAGCTGTGGAGGGGCCGCCCAGGTCAGACTCCAGCGGCTAGGGGCTCCCCGGCTGACGTGGGGACGTCCGCCCCAAGGAAGCAGCGGACTCCCCGCACTCTGTCAGCCGCGGGGCAGGAAGTCCAAGGAGCTAGCCTGACGCCAGACTGCCCACCGCGCACGCTCCCGAGCCGAGCCGCCGGACTACAACTCCCGCGGTGCACTGCGACGTTATGGGCAGACCCAGGAGCCAATGGACAAAGGACGATGGCCTCGAGGAGCCAATCTCTTGGGGAGGGGGCGGGCCCCCCGCGGGTAGTTCCTCTGCAGTCAGTGGGCGTCTCCGGGACGAGCGGCTTCGGCCCCGCCCCCAGCCCGGGCTGCTAGATCCGGGCCCCGGGTCCCCAGAGAGGTGAGGGGGCTGCAGGCGGGCGCTCGGCGCCTCGCTGCTTGGGATGGTGGTGTCGCGGGCGCCAGGCGGAGCTCTCGCCCTGCGCTGGAGCTAAGCGGCGTTCTGGATTGTCGTAGCTTTGCTGGGCCTGGGGACCGCGGGGCCGCCGCCGAGCCGGAGCCTCTGGGCCTTTCGCGCGCGTGGGCAGGTTCACCTCTAACCATACCTGCGAGCGGCGCTGTGGCCTTCCCCGGCTGTCCCCTCTGGGTCCCAACGAGATGGTCGAGGTCGGTCTCAGCCAGGTGCAGAGGCCGGAGGGCTGGTGCAGGCGCCTCGCCAGACAGCGTCAACTTCGAGGGATGCCTCTCCGCCAGCCCGCTTCGTCGGAGACCCCGTGTGCTCGCTCCTGAAATAAAAGAAGTAATTTCTTCCCGGACCTTGTGGCTTTTCGCCTTTGCCAGACAGTGCAAAAGAGTGACTGACCAACTCCACCCCAGGGTTTGCAGTAGAGGCTCGTGAATGACAGGCGCGTGTCTGCATCCCGGCCCCCCGGACGGTCTCAGGAGAGCGGCCCCGGCAGGATCCGTGGGGCGTTCAGAGAGAGGGGTCGTCAGTGCATGATCCCAGAGGTCTGACCTGTTTCCAAGGAGGGAAGTTGTGTCCCGAGCCCCAGCATGGCAGCTAAAATGGAGATCACCTTGAGCTCCCACCCGCAGGCCTCCTCCAAGCAGGAGAGACACATAATAGCAAAGCTGGAAGAGAAGCGGGAGCCCGCTCCCCAGAAAAGCCGGCCGGACCCGGAGCTGTCCCGCCAGAGCTTCCGGCGGTTTTGTTACCAGGAGGTGTCGGGGCCCCAGGAGGCGCTGGCGCAGCTCCGCCTGCTGTGCCGCCAGTGGCTGCAGCCCGAGCTGCACACCAAGGAGCAGATCCTGGAGCTGCTGGTGATGGAGCAGTTCCTGACCATCCTGCCCCCGGAGCTGCAGGCGCGGGTCAGGCGGCGGCGCCCAGGGAGCAGCAAGGAGATGGTGAGCCTGGTGGAGGATTTCCAGAGGGCAGCCAAGAAGCCAAAGCAGTGGGTAAGGACTCCCTCTCGCCGACCCCCAGGGTCCCCTGCATCTCAGTGGTGTCTGGGCCCTGACCCTTCGCGGCGGCTGGGCATGGACTGCAGGGCTCGGAAGTTGCTTCTGGCCTGTCTGGGAGCCTGCTGCAGGTAGCCCCAGGTGTTCAGAGCACAGCTGCTGGCACCGTGGGGGCAGGAGAGGACGCGCGCGGTCTCACCCTTCTTTATGGGACTCACATCCTCAGAAGTAGCTTTAAGGTTTCTGAATCTCCACTGTCAGGTCTTCCTCCACCCACTCCTCTTAAAGTTTTTTTTTTTTTAAAGATTTATTTATTTGAAAGTCAGAGTTACCCAGAGAGAAGAGAGGAAGAGAGAGAGAGAGAGACAGAGACAGAGACAGAGAGAGAGTCTTCCATCCTTTGGTTCACTCCCCAGATGGCCACAACGGCCGGAGCTGCGCCAATCTGAAGCCAGGAGCCAAGAGCTTCTTCCAGGTCTCCCATGTGGGTGTAGGGGCCCGAGGACTTGGCCATCCTCCACTGCTTTCCCAGGCCATAGCAGAGAGCTGGACAGGAAGTGGAACAGCCGGGTCTCGAACTGGCACCCATATGGGATGCCGGCGCTTCAGGCCAGGGCGTTAACCCACTGCGCCACACGCCGGCCCCTAAAGTTTTTCTATAATCAGAACTCTTAGTGGGCAGGACCATCCTGTAGGGTGAGAACTTCAGCTCTGGGAAACCTCAGTGAACTTCGTTCCAGTGAAGCTTCTGGGGTGTCGCCTTTGGTTCAGGAGGTTACAGCTCAGTCAGCCAGTGTGGTCCCTCCCGGTCGCGCCCCGGTTAGGGCTGAGGCAGGTTAGCAAACAAGCACAGGCTCTGGAAAGTGCAGACTCCTGGGAGCCGCGGTGCCCGCACTGTCTGCTCACCAGGCCTCTGGCAGACAGGTGAATAGTAAGAGCGGCCCCTCCCCTTTTACAGGGCCTGTTTCCAGCAGAAGTAGGGAGGCGGACTGGGGTGTAGCATGGGAATCCATGGGCCAGTGTTCATGACTCATCATCACATTTGTGCCACCTCTCTGAGCAGTTTATTTCCAGGCCTTGAGAACAGCCCAGCCTTTAGGGACAGCTGAAAACGTTGGCTGGTTTGGAGCACCCTTAATGCTGTTCTACATGCCCTTGGAGGTGTCAAAGGTCTCTTGTCACAGTTGACCCCTTGGTCATTATCAGGAATCCCTAAGGCCGAGGGGCGAGAGGTAGCACTGCCGCTGGTCAGCCCTGGTGCAGGAGTGCTAACAGGTGGTGCTCGTTCCCAGATGGCTGTGTGCATGCAGGGGTGAGAGGTAGCACTGCCGCTGGTCAGCCCTGGTGCAGGAGTGCTAACGGGTGGCCCTCGTTCCCAGGTGGCCGTGTGCATGCAGGGGTGAGAGGTAGCACTGCCGCTGGTCAGCCCCGGTGCAGGAGTGCTAACAGGTGGCTCTCGTTCCCAGATGGCCGTGTGCATGCAGGGGTGAGAGGTAGCACTGCCGCTGGTCAGCCCCGGTGCAGGAGTGCTAAAGGGTGGTGCTCGTTCCCAGATGGCCATGTGCATGCAGGGGTGAGAGGTAGCACTGCCGCTGGTCAGCCCTGGTGCAGGAGTGCTAACAGGTGGCTCTCGTTCCCAGGTGGCCATGTGCATGCAGGGGTGAGAGGTAGCACTGCCGCTGGTCAGCCCTGGTCAGGAGTGCTAACGGGTGGCGCCTGTTCCCAGGTGGCCGTGTGCATGCAGGGGTGAGAGGTAGCACTGCCGCTGGTCAGCCCTGGTGCAGGAGTGCTAACGGATGATGCTCGTTCCCAGGTGGCCGTGTGCATGCAGGGGTGAGAGGTAGCACTGCCGCTGGTCAGCCCTGGTCAGGAGTGCTAACGGGTGGTGCTCATTCCCAGGTGGCCGTGTGCATGCAGGGGTGAGAGGTAGCACTGCCGCTGGTCAGTCCTGGTGCAGGAGTGCTAACGGGTGGCCCTCGTTCCCAGGTGGCCGTGTGCATGCAGGGGCAGAAGGTGCTCTTTGAGAAAACTGGATCCCAGCTTGAAGAGGAGCTGCCAGACCTCCCCCCACACGCTCCTAGGCGAGATCTCAGGGAAGACTGTGTGGAGGAGCTTTCCCAGGCAGAATCCCATGACCGGGTGAGCCCCCATCAGTGGGAGAAATCCCCACTCCTCCAGGAACCAGCCCCCAGGGTGGCTGGAGCAGGTGAGTACGGCGTGGCTGCTGTCTGCCCTTCATCTGCGTCCAAGCAGCGTGTGGTCCTGCAGAGGCAGAGTGCGTGTGCGTGTTTAATGTGTGTGAAAACGTGGTCCTTAAAATTGTCACCGTCGGAGTTGGTATTCTGTAAATAAGTATTCAAGTACTGACTGCTTTCTAGCAATGAATACTTGACAGTCCAGTGCATCAAAGGATCGCCCTAGCACCATCCCCGTTCGGAGCTTCTGATGAACGTCCATGTGCGCCACGGCCGAGTTTCATTCCTGCAAATGGTCTGCTCTTTAGACAGGGCCTAAAGAATCTTCCGTCAGTAGAGAAAACCCCACTCCATGCTTTTTCTCCTCCTCCTCCTCTCTGATGCCGTTTGTGCTTTCAGTTCCTGTGTCTGGTTCCCTGTGTGCATCTGGTGCGCGGTGAGTGTGATTTCTGACCCTGGTCTCCACAGTGCGGTGAGCTGTGCTACTGAAGGACCAGGTGATGTGAATTCAGGAGACAGCAGGGCTGAGACGAGGGTTACAAGAGCTGGAGCCCGAGTTACCTAACATTGGCTAGACCCCACGAAATACCTGTGTTTTCGTTTCTTCAAGCTGCTATAATCAAATACTAGAAACTGGTAGTTAGCAGACAACAGACTGACTTCTCACAGTTCTGCAGGTGGGGAAGTCTGAGCTCAAGGTACCACCATGGCTGGGTTCTGGTGAGGGCCCACCTCTGGGCCACAGACTGCCAACTTCCGTGTCCTCACAGGGTAAAGGGACAAACAAGCTCTCTGGGGCCTCTTCCATGAGGGCACTGATCCCATTCCCATGTGGGCAGAGCCCTTGTGACCTAATCAGCTCCCAAAGGCCCTGCCCCTTAGTGCCATTACTGCGGGCACTGGGATTTCAGCAGTGACTCTGAGGGGAACTTTGATCAAGTCTCGGAACGCAGGAAATGGAGAAGATCTGGGGCATTCGGGAGAGAAGCTGTGACTGTGGCTGTGGCCGCTCCCCATAACCTGTGGCTTCGTTGTGCTGAACGACGTAGACCACACACGTGCTCTCTCGCCTTAGCAGGGGCAGCTGGCGGCATGTGGGCTCTCTCTCTTTTCACTGGATCCCGAGAGGTGGATGACCGTGGTCTTCCTCTCTAAGATCCACCAGTGTCTTCCTGCAGAGCTGCCTGCTCAGTACGGCAGCCCCGGCCACCTTTTTTACTCGCTGACGTAAATTCACATATCCTGAAACTCACCCTTTTGAAGTGTGTAGAACAGTGCTTTTTAGTACCTTCACAGAGTGGCGCAGCCATCACCACTGACTCCAAAGCATTTTATCACCTCAGAGAGCAGTCACCCCCATTTCCGGGTGCCCAGCCCCCGGCAAGCACTGACCTGCTGGCTGTCTCTGGATTTGCTTAGCCATGTAAATGGCACCCTACAGCATTGGCTTTCTGTCTGGCTTGTGTCATTGAGCATTACGTTTTCAAGGTTCATCCATGTTAGCATGCATTAGTGCTTTTTTCTTTTTCTTTTCTTTTCTTTGACAGGTAGAGTTATAGACAGTGAGAGAGAGAGAAAGGTCTTCCTTCTGTTGGTTCACTCCCTAAATGGCCACTACGGCCGGCGCTGCGCCGATCTGAAGCCAGGAGCCAGGTGCTTCTCCTGGTCTCCCATGGGGTGCAGGGCCCAAGCACTTGGACCATCCTCCACTGCACTCCCTGGCCACAGCAGAGAGCTGGCCTGGAAGAGGGGCAACCGGGACAGAATCCGGCGCCCATATGGGATGCTGGCGCTGCAGGCAGAGGATTAACCAAGTGAACCACGGCGCCCGCCCCAACATTAGTGCTTTTTTCATTGTTTCTAGCCGGGAAATAGGCATTGTATGGGTACACTGCAGGTTATCAGTTAGTTCATCGGTTGACAGACTTTTGGGGCTGTTTTCACTTTTTGCCTGTTACGAGTAGATACTCCTTGACTTATGATGGGCTTACATAGATAAGACCCATCGTTAAGTTGAAAATATTATTGTTGAAAATGCATTTAATAAACCCAACCTACTGAACATTATAAGTTAGCCTAACCTACCTTAGAAGTGCCCTGAGCTTTTTCTTTTTTAAAAAAAATTTATTTATTTATTTGAAAGTCAGAGTTACACACAGAGAGAGGAGAGGCAGAGAGAGAGAGAGTGAAGCCTTCCATCTGCTGGTTCCCTCCCCAGTTGGCCTTAATGGCCAGAACTGTGCCAATCCAAAGCCAGGAGCCAGGAGCCTCCTCTGGGTCCCCCATGCAGGTCCAGGGGCCCAAGGATTGGGCCATCTTCCACTGCTTTCCCAGGTCATGGCAAAGAGCTGGATCAGAAGTGGAGCAGCCGGATCTCGAACCGGTGCCTACATGGGATGCCAGCACTGCAGGCAGCAGCTTTTCCCGCTACGCCACAGTGCCGGCCCCTGAACTTTTCTTTTTCAAAGATTTATTTATTTAGTTGGAAGGCAGAGTGACAGAGAGAGAAAGAAAGAACTTCCATTTGCTGATTCGCTCCCTAAATGGCTGTAACAGCTGGGGCTGCCCTAAGCCAGGAGCCAGGAATTCCATCCTGGTCTCCCACATGGGTGGCAAGGGCCCAAGCAGTTGGGCCATCTTCCACTGCCTTTCCAGGTGCCTTAGCAAGAAACTGGATTAGAAGTAGAGCAGCTGGGACTCGAACCAGCACTCCGATATGGCATGCTGCCATCGTAAGCAGCAGCTTAACCCACTGTGCCACAGCGCCAGCCCCACTTAGAATACTTGTAACAGCCTGTGGTTGGACAAAAGCTAATACAAGCCTATTTTATAGTAAGGTACTGACCATCTCATCTAATTTAATTAAGACGTAGCGAGATGGGAAAACATGAAAAATAATATCCAAAATACAGTAGCAAACCCATACGGGAGACCCAAAGGAAGCTCCTGGCTCCTGGCTCCTGGCTTCAGCCTGGCCCAGCCCCAGCCGTTGTGGCCATTTGGGGAGTGAACCAGTACATGGGAGACTTCTCTTTCTGTCTCTCCCCCCCTCTCTCTAACTCTACATTTCAAGTAAGTAGATAGATATTAAAAAAAACACACACTGGCAACATGGTACACTGCACGGCGTGGGCTGTCTTACTCTCATAATCACGTGGCTGAGTGGGAGCTGTGGCTGACGCCACTGCCCAGCAGCGAGATAGTGCTGCATCACACGTTACTAGCCCAGGAAAATACCGAAGCTTGACGTAAGGTTTCTAGTTGAATACGTCATAAAGCCAAAAAATTACAAGCCAAGGATCATTCGTAGTGCTGCCATGCGCATTTGCATATGGACATAGGTTTTCGCTTCTCACTAGGAGTGGAACTGCTTGATCTATGGCACGAAGTTTTGTGAGGAGCTCCAGGTGGTGTTCAGAGTGGCTGCACCGTGTTGAGCTCCCACCAACAGAGTACGCGGATTCCAGGTCTCCACACCCTTCCCAGCACGCGGCAGTGGTCTGTTCTGTTAGAGTCATCCCGGTAGGGCGAAGAGTCCCTCCGAAGGTTTTAAGTGACCAATGGTGTTGAGCACCTTTGCCCGTGCTTATTAGACAGTTGTGCGTGATGTGTGGAAAAATGTCCTTTCAGAGCTTCTGCCCATTCTGCATTGAGTGAATTGCCTTTATTGTTGAGTTGTAAGACTTCATTCTATTTTCTGACTGTTGGGTCTATGTATATATAATTTGCAGTTTTTTCCCCCATTCTCTGGGTTGCCTTCATTTTTATTTTATTTATTTATTTTTTTACAGGCAGAGTGGACAGTGAGAGAGAGAGACAGAGAGAAAGATCTTCCTTTGCCATTGGTTCACCCTCCAATGGCCGCCGCGGCCGCCACCCTGCGGCCAGCGCATTGCACTGATCCGATGGCAGGAGCCAGGTACTTATCCTGGTCTCCCATGGGGTGCAGGGCCCAAGCACTTGGGCCATCCTCCACTGCATTCCCTGGCCACAGCAGAGAGCTGGCCTGGAAGAGGGGCAACCGGGACAGAATCCGGCTCCCCGACCGGGACTAGAACCCGGTGTGCCGGCGTCGCAAGGCGGAGGATTAGCCTAGTGAGCCGCAGTGCCGGCTTGCCTTCACTTTCTTAATAGTCCCCTTTGAAGCACAAAAGTTTTCATCTCGAAACAGTCTGATTTATCTGTTTCTGTGTGTTGGTGCTTTTGGTGTCATATGTAAAATACCATTGCCGACGGTCACATCCAAGATCACAAAGATTTAAGCTGTATTTTCTACGAAATTGTCTTGCAAATCTTTACCAAAATTAATTGACTGTAATGTGGTGGGCTGCTTGTTTAAATTTGAATTAAAATAAGCACTCAGTCCCTCAGTCACCCTACCACGTCTCGAGTGCTTGTGATCCACGTGGTCACATGCACCTGTTAATTACCATATTGAGCAGCTGGCCTGTGCTACCCGTTCACTCTCCCAGCCCCTGCAGCCATTCTAGCTGTTTCCATCCTTTTTTTTTTTTTTTTTAAGAAATTTATTTATTTACTTTAGAGGCAGAATCACAGACAGAGAGAGGGAGGCACAGAGAGAGAAAGATCTTCCATCCCCCAGTTTACTCCCCAAATGGCTGCAACGGCCAGAGCTGGGCAGATCTGAAGCCAGGATCCAGGAGCTTCTTCGGGTCTCTCACTCGAGTGCAGGGGCCCAAGCACTTGGGCCATCACCCTCTGCTTTCCCAGGCCATGCACAGGGAGCTGGCTTGGAAGAAGAGCAGCCAAGACACGAACTGGCACCCATGTGGGATCCGGCGCCACAGACAGGGGCTTAGCCTATAGGCCGTAGCACTGGTCCCAGCTGTTTCCATTCTGATCCCCCGTCTGGGCAGTCAGAAAGTGGGGGGTTTCTATGATTAGGATATGTGTTGTTTAGGGTTCACAGTGCAGTCTCTGAATGCATGCTGTTGATTTTGTAAGGAAAAAATAAAACCCCACCACAGTCACAGACCTACCCTCCTTTAAAGGGCAGGGAGAGGGGTTGTCGGCGGGTGTCCACGTCAGTGAAGGCTGTTTGTTGAAGCAGCTCAGGCTCTGGGCTGTGAAAGCACGCACAGTGGTGAATGTCAGCTGTCTTCCTCATCCGTTGACTGGCAGTTCTGATGGGTTCGCTTTTTCCTGTTCCTCCTTTCCCTAAAGGTAGAAAGGAGTGAGGTCGCCAGAGAGCCTGGCACATAAATTTAACATATATCAGAGCCAGCCCAGCCGTCCAGTCATTAACCAGAAGTCCGGAGAGTCTGACTCCTAGACGTGGGGGTGGGGAGTCTGCCCCCCAGGAGTCTAAATCGGGCGGCCGTGCCGGGCCCCTTCAAGATCCTTGCAGGATGGTTCACGATGCTTTTGCTGAAGTCCAGAAAATGAAGCCTGTCCTTTCTAATTGTAGAGGCCCCCAGAGTGGGAAGTGACAACAAGGAGAACCCTCAGCCGGAAGGGGCTAAAGGAGCAAAGCCATGCGCGGCATCAGCCGGCAGGTCCAGGGGCGGTGGGCTGCAGAGTCCCGAGCCCCGAGGGGCGAGCCTGGCTGAGCCCCGGCTGTCCCGGAGGCAGGGCGGCTCCCAAAGTGCCCAGAAGCCATTTGCTCACTACCAGAGACACTGCAGGGAACTGGACCACATCAGCAGCCCCCTAAAAACGCACCCGCTGAGGGAGCTGAAGAAGAGCAAAGGAGGCCGAAGAGGCCTGAGCGGCCGCCTGCCGCGGCTCGGCCACCCGGCGCCGCGCTCGGCCAGGAAGCCCTACAGGTGCGACGACTGTGGGAAGAGCTTCACGTGGAACTCGGAGCTGAAGAGACACAAGCGCGTGCACACGGGAGAGAGGCCCTACGCCTGCGGGGAGTGCGGCCACTGCTTCGGGCGCCAGTCGACCCTCAAGCTGCACCAGAGGATCCACACCGGCGAGAAGCCCTACCAGTGCAGCCAGTGTGGGAAAAGCTTTCGCCAGAGCTCCAACCTTCACCAGCATCACCGGCTCCACCACGGCGACTGAGCGCGCCCGGCGCCAGGAGGGTCTTCGGGTTTCCCCTCCCCTTCCCCGCATGGAAGCCACAGACCGCGTGACTTGCAGGACAGCAGGGGCCCTGGAGGGGTGCGGGTGCCCATCTGGCCGGTGAGGAGCCTGGCACAGGCTGACCGGGATCCTGACCGGGCCCAGTGCTGGGAGGAAGAGCCGGCGGCTGTGGGCGGGGGCCGTCTGCAGCAGGTGGCAGGCAGCTCCCGAGGGAGAAGCTGGGTGACCCCACGGGGCCCTGACCGTCCTGTCGCCCTCTGTTGCTTTATTTGTCTTCTCAAATACTAAAAGGTAGACTGTGTATGTCGTGCGTTTCCTGTCAGGCCAGACAATCAGGTGGTCCAGCAGGACTCCAGGCAGCCAAGCCCCAGCGCTCTGTGATACCCAGCTGTGCTTAAGCGGAGGAGTTGATCATTTGTGTGAGCAGAGGGTTTCCAAGTAATTAGATCCAGAAAGAAAGAAAAAGTGTGGCGAGGGATCCTTTTCTGCTGAACACCTCTGATTTAGAAGAAGATCCACGTGGTTGCTTTGTCCCTAGCCCGAGAGGTAGGGAAACTACCTGACCCTGACCCTGACCCTGACCCTGACCCTGACCCTAACCCTAACCGAGGCCAGAGACTGCTCGGGGACACCAGGGGTCCTCCCCGCTCCGCCTGCTCGCCGAGGCCGCTGGTTTGAGGAACGACAGAAGGGATGGGGTGACGACGTGTTCTGAAGTTGGATTGTGCTTGCAGAGCTTGGGTTCACTTGATGGTATGTAAATTGTGCCTCACGAGTGTTCTAAAACATAAGAGAGTATATTTCTATAAAATGCTCAAGTCCTGGACCTGGGCCCTGGGAAATCCTCTAATCCTCCCTCCTCGTTTTCTCAAAGTACAAATAAAACCCAGGCAGTACGAAAGTGTTAGTCACCCGGGCAGCCAGCCATTCCTCAGTGTGGGGGAATCGGGCCGATCCGATCCGTGTGCACCGCCTGCGGAAACAGGCAGGCAGGCGCCCCGGGCGCTCTTATGCCCCCAGAATCCCATGTCAGTGCACACTCTGCCTTTGAACACTCTCCCGTTTGCATCTGGGCCTGTGACACCCCCGTGTCCCCTCCCTGTCTTCCCCCAGCCGCCTGGGCACAGCTTTGCTGGCTGAGCCTCTGGGGAGGGAGGGCTGCCCGAGACCTCTAGAGGAGTGGACGCTGGGGTCCTGCTGAGTGCCCCCTAGTGCCCAGGATGCCCCACAGCAGTCACGCGGCTCAGCCGCAGTAGGGCTGCGGTGGGGAGACTGCTCCCTGCACGCTGCGTGGGGAGAACGACCTCATTTTCCACTCTTGTAGCTTTTAGACTCGGCCCGTGTCCAGCTGAAAGAAACGGATACTAGCTGAGACCCTCGCTTTCCACTCAGGGCCCATTTTGGCCTGAATGCAGTGACCCTGGGCGCAGTGGGTGGGCAGCACTTGTGTTTGGGGCAGAGGCGCATTGAAAGCCCCGTGGCTTCCTCATAGCTGTGGTGGCCCTGGAGGCCTCCCTCCCAGCTCCTGTGCTGACCACCACGGGACCCCTCTTCAAATTCAGCTGCCTGCTAGCGCACTGCAGTCTGCAGCCTCCCTGGTCAGGGCCTCTGGGTTTCTCATCTGTTCCCCCATCCCTCGCCCCACCCTCTCTTTCTAGGCCAAATTTCACTGTTGTCTCTTAAGTTCCAAGTCATGGTCATGTGTGTGTCTGTTCCTGCTGATGCTGTAACAAATGCCCGCAAACTCGGTGGCCTAACACAAGCTTCTCCAGTTCTGGAGGTCGGAAGTCCAGCGTGAGTCTTGCTCAGCCAAAATCCAGCTTTCTGGAGGGCTGGGCCCTTCCAGAGGCTCTGAGAGCGAATCTGGCTCTGGGACTTGTTCAGCTTCTAGTTGCCACCTGTGCTCTGTGGCTCATGGGCCCCTCCAGTGTCCCGCAGTCTCTCGTTACATCACCTGCTCCTCTGACCCGGACGCTCCCACCTCCCTCCTCTGAGGACGGTTGGGATTCTCCTGGGCCCAGGATGATCTTCCCATCTTAACACCCTTAACTTAGTAACAGCCGGGAAGCCCACGGGCCACATAAGGGACGGTGCCAGGTTCCAGGACCTAGGATGTGGACATGTTTGGGGCCTGATGATGCCCGCCAGGCAGGTCCATCTCGAGTCAAGCTGCTCCATCCGAGAGGACCCCTGCCTGAGAGAAAGAGCGTGCGTTTGCACTTCCCTTAGCTATAAAGCTTGGCACAGGGCCCTTCCTGCAATGAGAGCTTGTGCTTGCTCAGTGTGCTTCACAAGGAGCCGTGTGTGTCTGTGTGTGTGTTTGCGTGTGTGCGTGTATGTGTGTGCGCACGTGTGTGTGTGTGTTTCCACTCTTATTACAGAATTGATAAATGTTTAATCTTGGTGTCTTTGGATGATGAACTGTCAACCGTGGACCCTGAATAAATGTGACAAAATCACCACTCTGCTCATTTCTTTCCCAAAAGGTTTCAAATCTGACCTGCTTGACTCCCTCTCTGGTGTTGCTTTGGCTTAAGGTTCGGCTGCAGGCCAGCAGTGGCACTAAGGGTGCCGTGGACAGGCAGGAGGCTCCCGGGTACTGGATTCCGATGAAGGGTTCCCATGCTCCCCCTTTCCACTGAGTGGTCCCCCCTCGGGGCAGACTGCCACCCTGCTGATTTGACCGGCTACCATTTGCAGCACCCAAAAATAAGAAAATAACCTCTCTCCTATCGTGCACAGCCCTGGAAGGTTCTGCCGTCTGCCCTAGGCCTTGTCTTATGCGGTGACTTCTGCCCCCGGTGGCTGCAGGGATACAGGTGAGGAGCGGAAGCACCTGTGGCTGGGAGGGGTCTGGACAGCACAGATGGCTCTGAAAAGTGTTTTCCATCTACCACAGATGACTCGCAAAGCCCATCCCATAATACCATTATCGGCCGGCGCCGCGGCTCACTAGGCTAATCCTCCGCCTTGCGGCGCTGGCACACCAGGTTCTAGTCCTGGTCGGGGAGCCGGATTCTGTCCCGGTTGCCCCTCTTCCAGGCCAGCTCTCTGCTGTGGCCAGGGAGTGCAGTGGAGGATGGCCCAAGTGCTTGGGCCCTGCACCCCATGGGAGACCAGGATAAGTACCTGGCTCCTGCCATCGGATCAGCGCAGTGCGCCGGCTGCATTGCGCCAGCCGCGACAGCCATTGGAGGGTGAACCAACGGCAAAGGAAGACCTTTCTGTCTCTCACTGTCTACTCTGCCTGTCAAAAAAAAAAAAAAAAAAAAAAAAAAAAAAAACACCATTATCCCACCCAACGGAATTAGCAATGACTACTCACAGTACAACAGTGTTGAAATTTCCCCCAACTCTTTCTAAAATAAAAATATTATTTTTAAAGCTTTCCTGAGATATTTTACTTGCCAGAGAAGTTCATCCACTTCAAGCGTATAATTCAGTAGAGGAAATTCAGAGTAGCGCTGCTTTTACCACTGTCTAATTTTAGGGCATTTTCGATAGCCCAGAAAGAACCCCTTACCCATTACTGTCATTTCCCGTTTCTGCTCCCTTCCCTTGTGGGGTGTCTCCAGGGCCCTTCCGTGTGTAGCACACGTCGGGGCTGTATCGTTTTCATTGCTAAGTCATACTCCATGGTGTGGCCAGATCACATTGTGTTCACCTGTTCAGCTGCTGATGGACGTTTGGGTGGCTTCCGTGTTTTGGCTATGGTGAGTAATGCGTCTGCGAGCGCTGGCTACAGGTTTTTATGTTTCCATTTCCTTACCTGGGTCATACAGTCGTTCTGTGTAACTCTTAGAAGAGTGAACTTCCAAAGGGCTGGTACCACTCTGCATTCCCACCAGCAGGGTCTGAGCACTCCAGTTGCCCCACACAGTTTCCCCGACACCAGTACTTGTCACTGTGTCTCTGATCTTAGCTACTCTAATCGACATAGGTTTGGATTTTTCATTTCCCTAATGACGAATGATGTGGGGCATCTTTTCACGTATTTACCGGTCTTTGTGTCTCAGCTTTGGGGAAATGCTTTGGAGAGGTCAGAACCTCTGCCCATTTTTAAATTAAGTTTTTTGTTTCTTTTACTAATGATTGAATTGTAAGAATTCTTTATTCTGGAATCAAGTCCTTATCAGATATATTATTTGCAAATATTTTTCCATTCACTTGTAATATACCTTTGCATGAATCTAGTTCATCTCTTTAAAACAGCTGCCACCTGTCCAAATACTAAAGTGGCCAAATTATCACCTTAATTACCAGTGACACAACTTAACACTCCTGTGAGGGGAGTCTGCACCACCTTTTTTTTTTTTAAGATTTATTTTATTTATTTGAAAGAGAGAGGTAGAGACAGAGAGAGAGGTCTTCCATCTGCTGGTTCACTCCCCAGATGGCTGCAACGGCCGGAGCTGCGCCAATACGAAGCCAGGAGCTTCTTCCAGGTCTCCCATATGGGTGCAGGGGCCCAGAAACTTGGGCCATCTTCTACCACTTTCCCAGGCCATAGCAGAGAGCTGGATCGGAAGAGGAGCAGCTGGGATGCCGGCGCTTCAGGCCAGGGCATTAACCCACTGCGCCACAGCGCCAGTCCCTGCACCACCATTTAGACCAGTTCCTGGCAGCCTTTGAAGCTACACTATTGCCACAGGCTACCCACTATTTAACCACATGTGGCTCATAGTTTTATTAATGGAAAAGTTTTAAAAATTCTACAACAGCTTTTCTGTTTAGACTTAATAGGCAACTTTGCAGTGTAGTGAAGCTAATATTTATTGATAAGCACTTGATAAGCAACAGTCATTGCTAAGCACTTTATGTGAAAGACCCTCATTTGATTCCTACAGCAGCCCTGGAATTTGTTATTGCTCCCATTCTAGAGGGAAGGAAACTGCTGGTTCAGAGTTTGAACACTGTGTTGGATCACAACAGCTTTGAAGTAGAACCAGCTCCGCTGTCAGTGTCTGTGTTCTTAGTCAGTGAGCTGCAGACTACAGAAATTCGATGATCAGGACATTAGCTGTGGGGAGATCTAGAATTGTTCCTATGAGTCTGCTGAAACCCTAATGTATGGATGCTGGGTGGGAGAGATAATGAGCTGAGAAACGTGTCGGTGGGGAGGAGGTAACCAGGTTAGAGTACCCCAGGAGCAGAATTCTGGGCAACTTCCCTGAGATACGGCAGCCTCTGCATGTCCTGCCCACAGTGTGGCTCTCCCAAGCTGGAACAGAAACACCCAGAAGATTTACAGGGAACACACTCTAAGAATGAACAAACTGTTGCTGTGGATTCATTCTGAGAGGAGGAGTGCTGTGGGGGCAAGAGGAGTGGAGTCACCACACAGACCTCGGGAGTCAGGTGGAAGTAGGCCAGAGGCGAACAGCCCATAGACTCGTTTATTTCAGTTGGTACAGCAGCTTATATAGCCGAGGCAGCCAATCCAATCAAGGGGCGGTTTATGCCCTAACCAATCACAGCCTGCTACCAGGCAGTTTCCGAAGCCGTCCAGTCACAGCCTGTTGCCAGGCAGGCCCTGTTGCCAGTGGCCATCTTGGCATGGCCTTCTCATCCCACCACATCTGTCCATACAAGGGACTGTTATTCAACTCTAAAAAAGGAATGAAGCAGTGATATATGCTGTGATGTGGATGAACCCTACTATGCCACATGAAAGAAGCCAGACATGAAAAGACCCTACATGTATGAGGCCACTTATAAGAACGTCCAGAATTTACAAATTGACAGAGACAGTAGATGAGTGGTTGCCAGGGGCTGTTGGTGGAGGGCAGTGGGGTGGATTGGAAGCGACTGCTAAAGGGTATTGTGTCCCATTGGAGGTGATGGAAATGGAATTAGTGTTGATGGTTACATGACCTTGTAAATATATTAAAACCCACTGAATTGTGCGTCTTAAAGGAGTGAAATTTTGTGATAAATGTATTGTATCTCATTTAGAAAGAAAAAACATGGCAGACAGTTCCATAGCCTGCAGCTTCCACCCCCGACCGCCTTGCTGGGTGAGGCTGACTTGGTGCACAACGAAGGGCTCACAGCTGCCTGCCATGTGTGTCAGGGCAGCAGTAGAGTGGCTCACTAGTGGCCCGGCACCCTTGTCCTGCTGCTGCTCCCAGACCCGTGACTGGCTCCTGCCAAGTTCCTGTTACACCTGCTTCTGCAGCACTCAGAACGAGCCCACTTCTGAAGCTCCCTACAGATGCCACCCAGGAACAGTGGCCAAGTCGGTGGGAGCCCTCTTGTGAATCCACACTGGCGAAGGCACCCTGAAGTGCCTTACAGTCCAGAGGGAGACACCACAGGGGGGAGCGTCAGCTGTAGCTGCCGAGCTTCTCAGGATGGAAGTGTGACACAAACCTCTATGATGGCATTCCTGCCTCTTGAAGCTCGAGGAGCCCAGAACCCACCCTGGGCCTGGCACCGACTCAGGGCTCAAGCAGCTCCACGGACATACCAGGGGAGTGGAACTGCTGCCAGGCCAAGACCAAGGGCCAGGTTTCCACCCTGCTCTGTGGTTTCCCCGCCCTGTGGCCCCGGAAATGACATTTAAGTTCTCCAAGTTACTTAGGAAGTACCTAAGTGGGAAATGGAAGACATGTGCTGTGTCTTAATATGTTTTCTGTTACTGTAACTAAATACCTGAGCCCGGGTACTTTATAAGGAAAGGAAGTTTATCTGTTTCTCAGTTTTGGAGGTTCGGGAACATGGCGCCAGCATCTGCTTGACCATGGTGAGTGGCCCATGGCACATGGCATCATAGTGCAGGAGCACCTGTGAGAGTGGAGGGTGGCACCTGCAATGCGGGCTTCGGCGGAGGTTCAAGGCTCACTTCACAGCTCATTCTCTTGAGAACTATGCCAGTTGCAGACCTGGCCCATCCCCTCCAGACAGCATTAATCCATTTCAGAGGGGGAGTGGTGCCCCGTGGCTTATTTTCCACTAAGCCCCCTGGGAACCAAGCTTCCAACACAGGAAACTTTGGAGGGTAGACCACACCCAAACCATAGCACCCTGCTCAGCTCACATGATGGGTGAAGAGAAAGCATCTTGTTTTCTGAAGTGTCATACAGGGAGGGGTAGATAAAACTGAGAAGCGGGGGCTTGGCTCAGTGCTTTAGACACTGCTTGGGATGCCCGCATCCCATCTGGGAGAGCTCTTGCCTCCATTCCAGCTTCCTGCTAATGTGCACCCAGCCAGGCACAGGTGATGGCTCAAGGAGTTGGGTCCCTGCCACCCATATGGAAGGCTTGAATTGAGTTCTGAGCTCCTGGCTTTAGGTTGGCCCAACCATGACTGTTGTGGTCACTTGGGGAGTGAACCTGCAGATGGGAGATTTCTTTCTGTCTCTCTGCCTTTCAAATAACTTTAAAAAAAATTTTTTTTGTAATTTGAGTATCTGAAATCTGCTCAGCTATGCCCTCAGCAACCACAGAAGCCCTCAGAGAC